AAACCTTATTCAACAACATCAATACCAATTGATGATAATGAACATTATGATAATTTACGTTATCGTATGCCATTATTACGTGAAACACCCTATGATGTTGATTTAACAAAAAAAGTTAAACGAGCAGCAAATGAACTCGATAGACTTGGTATTCGTTTAACTATGTTTTTAAGGCGTTATCCAATCGTACGTCTTGGTGTTTTATTCTATGTTATACTTCTTCATTTATGGACATTTATTGTACTTTTTACATATACACCAGAAAGTCATAGCAATACAAATTCAATTAATTTAAAAGATAAACTTTAAAAACGATATTATGTTAGAATATTTATTTTCGTTTTTCTTTTGTAAATGAAAAGTAATTTTCTTTTTGGAATACAAGGTTATGAATCAAATTTGTAATGTGTTACTATAGTTTTAAAAATTAAAATATTTATTCGAATTGTAGAATTGACAGAAAATAGCTTGTATTATTATGACTTTTATACTATGTTTTTATTCTGATGATTATTTCTTAATATATAAAATGATACATCAATGATCATTGTCATAGTATGAAACTTAATGTGATCAGAAGATCTGAATCCAATGTGGCAAAAGCTATATTAAGGAAATTTTCAATTATGAAGTTTTAAAGATTCGTAAATAGAATATAGAAGAACTAAAAGATGTTTTTTTATCCTTGTAAGTGTAAAAGAACTATTTATAATTGTCTGAACGTGATTATTTGAGAATATAGAAGCCGAACAATTTATGGGCATATTTTAATATGGGTATTCAAACATACTCATCATTTACAAGGTCATGTTCATCTACAGTAAACAACAATATAGATCTCTTCTTTTTTACAACTGATATCATTATTGAAAAGCGTGCCTTATGTTCATTTGGTACTCTTCGTCTAAGACTATAATAATGATGTTGTGTAAGACGATAGAACATCTTAACAAATTCTATAAGTGATAGAAAAACTAAAACGATATTTGAAATGAGATCAACAGCAGTTATAGATGCATCTTGTGTACAATTCTCAACTTGTGTCGTTTGACAAATAACATCAATAGCAACATCATTTTTTTAAATATCTGATTGCCACGTTGTCGACGAATTTTTAGATAATGGAATAGATGATGATTCAACAAAATGTTTTTATATCGTCCATCATTCAATCTGATGGAGTTAAAAGTGAAGATATTGTTATTAGATATTTCATTTTTAAACATTGATATGCACATTCGAAACAATTGATCTCTTGTATTGCTTCTTTATAACATGTATCAATTATATTACATAGAGGTGCATTGATAACTTCAATTATACTAGGTTGCACAATATATTGTGCAGAGCATTGCCTAGTTTTACATAAGTATTTGATATACTTTCACTTCGTGCAATACTCGAATACTATGAGTGCTTGTATTAAGACTAAATTCTCAAATAATAGAATGATATTGATGATATTTAACATCTGCTTATAATGCATCAGAACAGACTGGAAAATCAGTAGCTATATGTTTAATAGTTGAGTCTGTTATTTTTAATTGATAATGTATTTTTTATTATTATTTGTATTTATATAAAATATATCCATTGATTTTCTGAATGTTTTGATAAATATCCAAATGAATCATTCAAATGAAATCATATAAAAATTTATTTGTACTTATTTTGCAAATGAAATATTTTTGTATATGATATCTCAATGAAAAGAAACCGTATATTCTTTATACAACCTTAAGGATTCGAAATTGAATGATTTATTTTTTCTGTGTAGGTTATAATTTGAGGGTGTAGGTGCGGGGGAGAATATATGACTACACCCACACGCACACCCACACCCTCAACAATCGTTTCTCGATTATATTCATATCAATTAATCTTAATGATTAAAAATCTATTTCTTTCTAAATGGCAAAAAAAAATAATATCATTAGTTAAAGGTTTGTATTATGTTCATCTGGTGCTCTTCGTCGAAAAATATAATAATGATATCGTATAAGACGATAGAACATTTCAATAAGTTCCATAAGTGATAGAAAACTAATACCAATCCATAAACCTGTATTACCACCGATATTTGAAATGAGATCAACAGCAGTTATAGATGCATCTTGTGTATAAGCTTCAACACGAGTTGATTCAGATACAATATCAACTCCTATATAGTTTTTTTGCATTTCCGATTGCCATATTTCTGACCAATTTTCCGGCAATGGTACACCAGATTGTTCTACAAGCGGTTTATATTCATATGCATATTGTGTAGATATAGCTGATACCGATGATGTTGTAATAGTAAAGTCAACAAATGAACATTCTTGTGAACATTCAGAACAAAACTCGTTCCAAATACTATCTGTATTTGTAATACGATTTGTTGCATTAACAAAACAGTTATCTGTTTGATTACATAACGGTGCGTCAAGTAGTTGATTTGTACCATGTACAACAATAGTTCGAGCAGTAACTTCATTTGGATTTACACAATTACATTCTTGATAACTAGTTTTCGAAATTAATATTATTATTTTTTAATGAATAAAAATATACTCACACATATGCTTGTATACATATTGTAGTGCAAATAGCTTGTGAATAAGTATAATCAGTATTTGTATATCGATCAAACATTGCTTGCATTGCAGGAGAAATGATATTTGTACAATCTGAATAGGGTGATGGTAATAGTTGACTTATTCTTTTCTTGTAGCCTATTTTATGCTTACGACCACCTGCAAGTTCTATACCAGCTACTTCAATGAGTGGTAATTCTGTATTATCATGAACCATAATCATCATACCAACTGATGCATCTATATGACAAAAAAAA